ATCAAATTTGCAGGGAAATACGAACACCGTTATTTCTTTCGTAAAAATGTTCCGTCGTTCTATCGGAAGAAATTAAGACGCCTAACATCCGTTATCTAACATTTTTCTACTATTTTTACAATGTCGCTTAACGGAACAGACTTTAATCGACTTTCGATGGGAGATACAATAAGTTGAACGTTTACGGAGACCGCATGATACACTTTTACGTGTATAAAATCATGAATTTCACAATATTAAGAATCTTAAATTGTGAAATAATTGTGATGTAAAGCTGGAAGTAAAAAGTCATACTGTTTATACTGTTGAACAATTTGAAATTGTTTTTAGTGGAGGAAAATGAAAAAACCATTATGTGACAATTTGCAGATCTTGTTTAGAATAAATAAATATTACTTATTTTTATAAAAATTCACGGCTGAAAAAAATCTGTTTATATTGAAAAATTCTTCAAATATGTATTAATATCAGAATAAAAAATTTCTACCATTTTAGCGTTTATTAACTGTATTTAGTAGATATGAAAATTTAATTAATGATGAATCGAGTGGTCTTTCACAAAAGAACATATATTTTAACACGTCTATTAATAGTCTTAGTTTTGTACAGAAATCTTACAGTTTGATTTGAAGCGCAAACACCTTGACTCGACGAGTGATCGGAAAGACGGCGGATGAAGGATTGCTTACTCGTTAGGATCGAATTCGGTTAAATTTCAGAGCCTACGTCATGTAGTTATTTTATGACGTGGATATTTGTTAGCGGTAGTTGTTTACATTAGAAAGGTGTCCGTGAACGCGCTGATGCAAACAGGCGATGACTCGCTTTTCAACGGTACTTGTTTTGCAGAAATTTGGTTTTGACAAACAAGTGGAGGGAGTAGGCTGGCAGCCACGATGGCTTAGGTGATTGGCTGCTGGCGGCTGCAGCCTACCCTCTCTACTTGCAGCCAATGACTGTTAAAGGTTTTCGTGGCATCCGTGCTGCCGCTAAATGCGGCGAGCAGGCGGACCGAAATTTTCCCCTACTTGGAGGAATCTTATTTTGGAGTGTTTTGATTGGTTCGCCATATTTTTCCTAGTAAGGCGAGAGCTTATCGATCCAACCCAAAACAGAAGTTGCGC